GTTCAGTTAATGTGAAAACAGCTATTTCCGGTAGGCATCTATGCTTCCTCAAAGCTGTTACTCGATGCAAACCGTAACCTGTATATAAATCTTTGTAGTGGAAGCCAGTGGGTATTACGTTTGTTGCTGTGGAGGCTCCTTTCGTGCCCTGGCACCTTTCATCTGAAGAGACCGCGAACTGGTTTGTGTTATTCTTCCATACGAACTTCCTATTCCCCATGCAGTGGAGTCGAGCATTCATGAATACTCGTGGATGACTCGATCTCTATCCCAGATTAGCCCCTTATTCATCATACAACTCAACTAGGAGTACCACTAGGCCTTGCAGGAGAGGTTTTCTCAGCATAACACTAGTCAAGAAGGAAAACTTAAGCTTTGAACCGAATAAGTTACTGGGATTCTTTCGCAATCTTTGTTATCAACTGGCCTTTTTCCGCTTATGGTGCATTTAGAGATTCGCTGTACGAGGAAAATTGCCAACCTAGCTGACACCCACAATTATTTTGGTATACCTAACCATTATTTTTTTATCATGGTACATCCATTTGATTGTACTCCGTCCTATAACTTCACCTTCCAAGAAATGGAAGCATCACTTCCGGCTCCTCAAGCCGGGACGGACCCAAGTAGCATGTATCCCTCAGCCGCTGCTGCCCACACTCCTGGTCAACATCCATCAGCTAACACAATCGCAGCGGAAGATCCCAGTACTGTTCAACCACCCTCGTACTCACAGTTACCTGATAGACCAGCAGAGGATTCTCAACCGGCCACATCGACGGGAAACTATCCAAGCACGGGCTATTCACAGCCTCAAGCTGCTTTGCTGGAGGGCCAATTGATTTCTTTTGATTGATCTCATTCTGCTCGGTTCGTCCGTAATTGTGACACAGTAATAGCTATTGAACCGGGTTTCATTTACTCGCCTACCTAACTCTCGTTACTTCCTATCACTTTACCGTGTTCTCTTGTTCATCAGCTTCGTGATTTGTTGTGGGTCTGCTTAGCTCCCACCCAGCTCGCCTCATATATGCCTTTGGACGCCATCGTTTTCTCCAATTTTTCATTTGATTGACAGCCAAACGAATACACAATGAACGGCCACCCTTTGATTTTCTTTATTGATCAACTGTAATGGGCACAATTACAGGTCATTTCTCACGGGTTCCCTAGGAATAGTCGTTTCTACCTGCAGTTTTCATGAAGTTCATTAGCTCAAAAGATGACCACTGGAACTGCTTTACGGTATGTGAACGCAAGGAACCAGGAATAAAGCTGGGTAGAAGACATTTTCCTGACGCGTGCAAAATGCTTATTTTCTTGCGAGAGATGGTGTACCGTATGGGGACAAAATTTTGTCCGCAACAACGCAACAATAAAAGGCTCAATAGCATCAATTCCCTCTCAACAACAAAAAATCTCCACCAAACTCATTGTAATTAAGGTGTAAAAAATCCGTCCAGTGTGTTCAGGTTGGTTAGCGAAGAGACCCCACTAATAACAGTTTGTGTTCCAATCATTCCTGTGGCCATCGCAACAGTCCCAGTGAATATATCAGTACTCTGTAATATTGGCGTTGGGCCCCACATCGTTAAAGCAGCTGGTGCACGTCGTCATGCCTGGTCTCTGGCCGTATGGAAGCAGGTTTGTGGTGTGTCCGAGCGGGGTTCAGGACAGTCGTCAGACCCAACAGCCCAAATTATCGCCCACTATCCGACGATCTGGTCATCTGCCATGGGAACATGGGGAATATAAGGGTCGGTAATTGGTCAGGTGGCGGTTGATCTGTTCGCCGAGCTTGGCAATTGACTTGCAAAGGTTTCGTCATCATTCGGGGCGAAGTTGGATGTCTCCGTCACAAAGAGATTGGACCTCATAGTGGTATGACAGTTTGCGCACTTCAGCAACGCATTGATCTATATTAGGGGGTATCCCCGCAACGCACTGAGTCTCTCATACCAGGTTGCTCAATGGCTAGAGGTCTGACGAACAGTCTCGTGGTCTTTCAGGTTGGGGGTTGGAACATGTGGCGACTTGTTCCGTAGAAATAGTGATACATTTCCCGCCAAACACCGCTGCCATGCGGTTAGACTTATGAGCCAAACGCTTCGGTTGAGGATCTCAATGGACCTTCTTTCTTGGATTGGGCACCCTGACAGTATCCCTGCCCACGTACAACCATAACATTCACAACTAACAATACTCTCATGACACGTCGGCCGTCACGTAGTGCCATCAGCCAGGTCGGCTTACTTGCTGCATACAGCAGGAAGGGTAAGCGAAAACAGGCTACTACTGACGCCCCTCTTCTTTCTTTCCCCACTTATCAATAACTCTCCTCTTGTAGGCCCAACACTTAGGACTAATGGCTCCGTTCGTATTGCATCGTTTTTGTGTACAGCGTCTGCCCGTCAAATGGCACCGACATTTTCAGGTAACTCAAGCCTCGACATCGTCTATCTGGCCGCCTCCAATGTGCGCGCTCTGAAGCAAGCAGGACAAGAAGCTGCTCTTGCTCACACTGGACTCGCTTGGCATTGATGTGTGCTATATCTCAGCAACAAGAATTCAAGATGCAAGCACAGTGATTGAGCTAACCGGCTACGCACCTCCGGTAATCCAGAGGCTGCTGCGGCGGGTGTAACAGGGATTCTTACTTGATAGAAGATGTGCTCGGATATTAGGTATCACGAATAGGTGGTTAGTTCGATGAGGTCGGCACTTGGATAATATTCTTCATAAGAACACTTCGAGTGACGTCCTCAACGCAACACCAATTATTCTGAAATAACAAAGCAGCAGTGTTTCCCAAGTGACAAGAGCACCTTTACCAAATCAATGAATTTGACATACTGCTGATGGCTGTATTTTACGAACTCTAAAAATTCCAAGCCATGCGCTACACTATTCAAAAGAGTCAGTTTATACCGGAATGCACTGCGTATCGTTGTTTATTCTTTCAAAAGGTTCTGTCTATTTGTATGCTGCCTCGAAGCCACGGAGGTATTTAAAAAAATCGATGTATTTAATAAAGAAGTTAGTTACATGATTGAACTGGTTAATGGAACTCAGAAGCGCGACACTTTTTTCAAGAACCCCCTAAGCGCGACTCACAGAGAGGGGGATTCTCAATAGAAAACGTTCATTAATGAAGATGCTGATAAATAGACGAACTCGGTGTTGAAACATTTGGGGTGTTGGTGGGCATTAGTCACCTCTATTGGGTTTGACCTGATTTGACCCAAAGAGGCTGTTTCACTGGATTGTCATGGTGAGTTCCAGGGAGATGGACTTGATGTAGCTGTTGATTGTATGCGCATCAGTTTCTTACAGTTCGATTGTATCTGCGGTCCACTGCAGTCTTCTGTTGCCAGGCTCCTTCATGGTTCGATTTTCTCGAAGCTGCTGGACCCATGGAAGTTCTCCGGTTTTGAGGGGAGTTCGGAATACCGTCGGTTGTTTGTTCGTGTATCTTGGCTATCTGGGGAGCTTGAATTACTGGAACTGGGATTTCATTGCCTAAAAGGTTTTGTAGAATACAGTGACCTTTGGCGTTCTAAAGATATCAGATGAACACATGTTTTATTAGGGGTAAGGGAACTTAATACGACCTCTCTCAGCATGCGATCAGAATAAATGCTTGGTTGTCCATATGAGCACCTTACATGAATTATTTTGTATCTAATTTTTTTATTAGGTCTTCCAAATACATGAAAGGTGACGCTCGCTTAGTGTTTTCTACTCACTGCTTTGTCAAATCATAGCTACCTACATTCGCTTCTCTGGCTGTTCCAATAAATCGGGGTTTCTCTGATGTGACCACAGCTGAGTTTTGAGATAGCCATTTTTAGGAAATACGATGGTCGAGATATTGCGATATGTTCTCTCGAACAAACATGAGAGTTTCATTTGGGATTGATTTGAGCCTCCCGCTAAGACGAAATCAGCTCACAAATGAGAGCAATTAACAAACTCCTACAATTTAGTGCTCAGGTAGAATATAAACTGGACGGAAACTCGGGAACTGCGCCTACCTGACGAGCCACAAGACAAACTGAAACCGGTCTCGGGCTGTTAAAGTTTTCAGCAACCCCAATGACTGGTGTTCTCCGTCAGGGAGCGAATAATACTTATTATCTGCCTCTCGGGGACGCAATATGAATTTCCGTATTTTTAAAATTTCTTGCTTCTCATTGGCTGAAATGCAAACCGACAAACTAACTTACACGCATCACGTTTATGAGGACTGACGTACCACTGACTCGTCCAGTGCATGACGGCAATACTATCTAGATTGGTGAAGTACCGTACACTGATTGCCCTGACGTTCCATGTTTTCTACTGCTGCTTCGTTCCGTAAATGAAGTCATCACAAGCGCACACCTCAAAAAGCTTCAGGCCGTTTCGATCCGGGACCTTCTGATTGGTAGTTTCAACATTTAACCTTACGGTGACGAAAGGCTGATCAGGAGTAGTTAATCAAGAATATAGCGCCACTCATACTTCAAACACAAGTCTTTATCGCAAACGGGCAGTATTCGCCTTTACACGGGTATTGATATCCCAGGAATTAACATCGCAGATTTAGTTATTAGTATCGTGTTCGAGTCCTCGTGCGATCACCTCAAAACCGGCCGCCGTCCCTTCCATTCAACTGTGAAGCGATGTCAACATTTTATTGTTCCATCAACAAAGGTATGAAAACTACTGCCGCATGGATACTTCTTACACAAAAAAACGGAAAGGAAATGAATATGAATAATAAATTACAAAACACATTAATTGCACACAGCACGCATCAGAGCTAACTTGAGATGGCGAAATTTCCCCCATCTGGAGGCATCGGATACCAATTGGCAGATGGCTTGTAAAATCTTACCTTTCAAGGGAGGACTGGGTTTCGACTTTCTGGAATTGCTTCGTGGACGGGGAATTTCGGATCTGTATGTTTCATTGCGTGGTCGCGTCATCTTGGTCTGAGCAAGCTGAACAAAAAAGCGTTAGTTTATAATTTGTGCTTTGATTGCAATGAGTTCTTGTAAGAGGTGCAAACAAATACATTCTGCTGTTTGAGCACTCGATTTCCTAATGGCTGATAAAAACAAACATCATTTCATAATGATTTTTGTTTTCGTCTCGAGATTCTATCGTGATTTAGTTGCGAAGTAATAGTGATAAGCTCAAAGAATATTCATAATATGATTGGTGGGCCCGAATCTCGCGCGGTGAACGTTGATTACAACCATTCATCCATGAAGGTGAGCTTAAGTATCGCTGTTTTTTGTACTAAGTTGCTCAGAACGTTTGCATTCATCTAAGTCCTTGAGTAGATGTCCCAGATAAACATCTTCCATATTTCCACTAAAAATCCTCATCGCTTTGTTCCTACTGTTTCATCTGAGGCACACTTACCACTCTTTTTTGATTTTTCACTTCTAGTGGAACCACTTTGATCGGTCTAGTTAGTGGACCTTGACTCCAGTCGTATCCGATATCCCCCGTGCTGATGCTGGGTTGCTCAGATTGACTGGGTGATCGCTTTCCAATTGGTATAGCTCGTTGTTCGATGGAATTTGCTTCTGAATACGACTGGTCATCTCTCCTGCGCCCAATCGAACGACGTGACTGGTATTTCTGAGCCTCGACCAACAGATGAGGGTCACTGCGTTTTCCCTGCCCCTCCGCTGGTGGTGGAGATAGTCTTAGGTAGACTGGTGAATGGAGGAGAGATATTTCAACATTTTCACCGGTGTCTGATTGCTCATCTACGTCCTGGTTGATGGCTACGGAGTGGCTCCTCCCTGCTTAGAAAACAATAAGAAATGACGCAGGCTATTAAACGATTCATATAAGGAAAACCACTCACCTGTAAGCTAAGAATTATACATCACCACAAAATCTGTAAACCTGCATGCTTTTACTCTTAAGATGCACACGATCGTGGTACGTGCAACGCAAAAACCCACCTTGTGTTCAACCCAACACTTTCTCTTTCAAGACCATACCTGTACCGAAATCCCATTCAATACGACGGACGTTTTCCGTCTCCGATCCGAGCTGTGCTGTCAAAAGTGCACCCGAGATGGTTCAGTGTTTAGGCCGGCATGTTAGTGTTTCCGCCCTAATACGCTTTCAACTTCCGAGTACTATGGGTTATCCCTAGTTCACCGAACAGCCCGAATTTGTTGCTGTTTAAACTGGGACTGGTGAAATTTAAACTGACATATTCGATAATCGAAACAGCGACGTCGAAGTATGCCTGCTCTAATTCGACTTCAAAAATATGCTGGAAGCTGAAGTAAAGGTCGAGAAGCTTGGCTCTGTAGCAGAATTTCAGTCATCTGTGAGAAGCGCTGATCATTGCAAACAGAGTACTGCATACTGAGTCAAATCTCTTGGGCAGTTACTTAGTCCAATTATGCACTCGGATGTTCCATCTCCGTTAATATCCCTGTATCAGAGCCTGCACCACAACTGAGTAGTTCAATGTAATTCAAGGTTTAGTGGTCTAAAAAGCAGTTAACTTTTCAACAACCATAGGGTGAACGTATATATACAAAGCGACGCAAAAATATGCGTAAATATGCGTATCACATGGAGTTAAACAGTTCCAGATTCGGTTTGGACATAAGATATGCATCTAAATTGTTCATGAAAATGGTTAAACTCGGCGAATGTACAACACTGGGAGGTAGGGAGTTCCAAGTGAAACATACACGGACCGCAAAAAGTTCCGTCGACAGTTCACCCTCGAGTGAGGTACCGCCAGCGAAAAGTCATGCCTCCTGCCCGTTCGTGGTCGACGTCGGACAAAAAGATTTTCCAGTCGTCAGACAAACTGTCAGCTGATTTATCGACCAATCTTAATTACCTCCTTTTTAATCACGAGAAATGGTTATGACGATAAGATGATTGTATAATATACGATATAATACGATGAGATGGATATTATTCTGTCTTTGTGAGTGTAACAAAAAAAGATAATGACCCTGTGGTACAGCCGAATTTAAAACTTGGGCCTAGAAGCTCTGTATTCATGTGCGCCACCTGGGATTCATAGGCAAAAACCCTCACTGTGGGGAAGAGAATTCAGGGAAATCAAGCTCACGAAACTGGTAAGTGACCGTAAAAATACCTGACAGTGCACTGAAAATGCACGAAAAGGAAGCTGTTATGCAACGCCTGGAGAAGCAATGTGGTTTATCTAGAGTGCTTCAGCTAGCAATAAACTATTCCAAAAACATACTCCATTCGAAGTATACTTCTGCTCCCATGTAGGTCACATCTCGAATGCGATCTAAGTTGTTTTGGATTTTTGATGTCCAAATGAAATTGCACTACTCTACTTACAGTAAGGATGCACATATGGCGTGATGCCCCCAAACAAGCCTTTCGAGTTTCTCGATTTTTTTGTAGTGGATTATTATTGACAGTAGGATAAATTCAGCAGGATACATTATGTGTAAGATGAAACTCTAACCATTTTGGCACCTTAGTAGAATGACATAAACGCACTTGCTTTCGCTGATAAGCATACATAAAAATGTCTGCTTTGGCGAAGCTTGTGTTATCAACAGACAATAAGGAGGATGTCAGGCAGCTACGTAGATTGCACAAAAACGGGAGCAGCGAGGAAATCAAATCCATGTTCTTCAACAGATGGACCTTTCTCGTAGCCTCCAAACTTCTTTCGCATGAAAACAAAAAACATACAACTTACGCTGTTTTTGTTTCACAACTTTCAAGCGTTGTTCTCGTCTTTGTTGAGCTACAAGCGAAATGGTTCTTGTATCCTTCACTCCACTAAGGTTTTCACCTAATTCAATGTTTGTTGGTCGCATATTTTCCAGACTACTGGATTCCGAGTGTTTGACTCCGTCTTCTTCGTTCTGGACTGTAGAGGGCAACTCATTATGCGATTGTGCAGTGGATGTCTCAGTGTCCGTAGCATTTGGACTGATCTTTTGTGTTTGACTAAAAAAGTTTATTTGTTTCTTTGACGGTGTGACGCGTTCAGATTGACTGTTTTCCATGTGGCTACCCAGTGGATGGAGAACATTACTCGAGCGATCAATGCCAAGCGTCGAAAGGCCATCTGACAACGAAGCTCGGCGGCCTGCTCCGGTCTTCAACCAATTAGTTGTCCGCTGGTAACGATGACCTTCCATGGCGGTCTCAAAAGGGATGCATGATAGGGAATTTGAGACCTTTGAAGAGTCGCCGTTTGTTAGTTGGATACCAGCAAATCTATCAGGTTTCACAAAGAAGGGAATATACGAAGAGATATGAGCAATAAAAAGTAAGATGTTTCGGATTTTGGAAGTGACCAAAACTATTAAAAGTTAATTGCCGGAAGTTCGCTCACATTGGCTCAAAGCAATGTTCTGATCCCCAATACGTTATCTTTTGGAAACAGGGTGTCCAGGGGAAAGTACTTGTGGTTCATTGGGACGGACGTCCAGTTTCTTCATGGGAAACCATTCCAGGAGTCGACTAATTAAAACATCCTGTTGTGCATACCAGTATGTCTGTTGTTCGTTTAGAGGGAGAACTTACTGAAAAAGCGTGAATACATGCACGAGGCACCAGTCCCATAAATATGGCCATTCTCCCGCCGAGATACAAGCAATCCACAACCAGTGGGATCGGTAAATTCCTTACTATACTGGATTGCTTGTGAACAGTTGATAGGACAAAATGAACCTAAATGACATCTGTCTTGTTTTCGCAAATTTCAGATTTCACACAGCCAAAAAGTAGCGGCAGCTTGGAACACAGTACATACCGTTGTACAGATGATACCTGCTTCCAAAACATAAAGAAAACGGACTCGGATTATCTGAGCAATGTCCGCTCAGTGTTACGGCATACTTCCCATTCTTTTGAGTAAGTGTGAAGGTTGTAAGGTTGCAAGTGCAGTGCACTTAGTTGTTGGACCTTGCACTGTTTTGTTAAATTTCTGATATCAGCTTTAATTGAAATTTTTTCGATACGACGGACCTAGATTCCCAAAAACATACATGGTCTGATCATGATCAGTGGCTTCCAATCCTCCTACTTCTATGCTGGAATCAGATATTTGCCGATGAAGGTGTCCGCTTTTAGCAGCTACATTGCTGTTGATTAGCATAAAACTTTTAAAGATTAGGAATGAAATGAAACATGCATTTGAAGAGAGAGATTCCTGTCACTCAAAGGCATAAATACCATCCAATGAAAAGCTCATTAACTCAGTAATGTGTGCTTTCACCACCCCACCATGAGGGTGCCCAAAACGTTCATGCAAAACAGCTAAATTTGGCACATCTTTAACATTCTTTACTTTAGAATCCCGCGTTGAACAATGGCTAGCCAAGCCACAGAAGCTAAGCACATTACTCAGCCATTATTCAGTTCTTTTGACTTTGAGTGAATTTTTTCAGTGATGTAGGGGCTCTTGAATCGTGCTACTCGGGAAGCCTACAGTGATTTCTAGCCGACACTATTCCAGCCACTTGTGGGACTGATTACTGCGGGTGAGCGCAATGGTGAACTCTTATCCTTTTGTTTAAAAACTCCCGAACATACTTTACCACAGACTGATATATACATCCACACGACTCCATACCAGTTACCTATTTTATAATGGGTTAACTTCACAATCTAACAGATTCAACAACAAAATAACTGGTGGCCACAAGGGATCCCTTTTTTGATTACAAAGTGACAGATAAAAACGGAAACAAGCTCGCAGTGAAACGACCGAGGGAAAGTCAGCATATGTTTTCCAAGTCACTTCCTCATGCAATGGCCGAATGAACTTTGAGGTCACAGACGTCCTCTTCATTCTACATCTAGAACGGGAGCATGGCTCACGAGTTCTAAACAGGGTGCAGATAATAGTCATAGACTAATAGCTTCAATAACTTGGTGTCACAAAACACAGGTTGGCTGCTAGTTAGACGAATGGGGTGAACTATTGCATTATCTCGCTGCAGCATGATGTGCTTGTGTAAATCCATAACAGAGTCAGCAGTGTTTGATTCTGTATGAGGTTCTGCTATTTAGACTCCCCGACGCCGTTGACTGTTACGGATCCGCTCAGTTACTATGTCAGAAGTGCGTTACGTTTGACAGAAAGCACACATTTAGCTGTTCGGTTGAAGCGGATTTTGTTTTTGCCGCTTTCAAACCAACAACAAGTGACTCCATTCATCTGGCTAGTCTGTACTGAGTACAGTTTCATCAACGATTATTCCAACTCAGGATAAGCCTAGTTTGTCTGGAATCGTGTCATGCCCTTTGGCATGCAAACCTGTGTTGCTCACCAATTTCAAATTGCAAGACATCAAAGGCTACCAAGCAAACATTTATTTAATGAACGTTCCGTAAAGTTTCCGCAGACTAACTACAAATGGGTGGAGTTCATATCTGGTCCCCATAGTTTTTTTCCGGTGTTTGAAACTAAAGATACCTTCGTAATCAACGACACATCGGAGGCGTCTTGTATCCTTAAAACTGTATATTTTGGAAAATGAGTGGCTTACCGAACATCGGATACCGAGCCACCGACACTCACTCTTCGCTGCGCTCCCAGATTTGTCTAAAAATAAAATAGGCACAATAAATTCACCGAACATTCTGCCGAGTACTTTCACTGAAATACTAATTATTTACAGTTCCGTAAACCAAATACACCCTCGTGAAAACAAGGCAGTGACCATTTAGAAAACAGCTTAGAGCACGCTAATGAATGAATGTGTCAGATGGACTCAAGGGGGCTCGTTGCAGTCGATCCAGTTAGTGATAAAGTGCAGTTCGATTGTTGTCTGTCATTGAGTGGAAAGCATGATTACGCTTCAATTAAGGCTCGAGTATTTCTGATTTGTTCCAAGGAACCAATAATGTTGTTCCAAGGAATCACAGTCAGGGAAACCGAAGTACATTTGAAGGGATCATACGTTTTGGCCCGAGATTCCGTGAGCAAATGAGTCTTATTTTCTCATGCAGTTTTATTTTTCTGAGGCTGTACTCTGTTCTATGGAAACGGTTCTTTTTGTAGAGAATGTGAATAATTCCCACACTTAGAGCAAAACCAATTCGTGAAGAGTCATTAAGCGCTGTTCTCAACGTCAGCGGATTAAGATCACTGCAGCGGGTTGATCAACGGGTCAAGCGAAATATATTATGATCTTTTTACCCCTTGGTACTCTACATAAAATACCTACCGTCCAACTGATTGGAAAAAAGCTTGCTGACTGCCTGACTAACCGACTAACCAAACTTTAATTTCAAAAGGTATGCGAAGCTTTCATGTACACGGCCGAAATTTTCCACTGTGGTTTGAAGTAGGCATTCAAATGAGTGGACATCGTGTAGTTCAGTGTTCAACGGTACTCAATACAGTAGAAAGTTAGCTAAGTGTTGAGCCAATAAAAGCCGTGGATTTGTAATGAATAAATGTAGTTGATCATATACTCATCCAGTTATTCAACTCTCTCTGGCAAACAAAAATGTATTGCTCACCTGTTGTGCGTACAACTCCAACAGTTGCAGAAGTTCTTTGGGAGTCTCCACATTATTGTGTGCCAGCAAGTCGGCCTGGTAACGAATTATCGCTTCCGACAGACGACTATCCACACGTAGCTGATTTAGGAGAAATTCACGCCGTTTCAGTTCCGTTCCACTGAGCGCGTACTGAGCATCCAGATCCGCTCTTTCCAGTTCTAGTTCGTGCAATCTGCATAGCAGGTCAATAATTTCGCGTTCTTCGCTGCGCATTGACTGAGCAAGCAGGGACTGAGAAGAACAATTATTTGACCGTACTGAGCATCCAGATCCGCTCTTTCCAGTTCTAGTTCGTGCAATCTGCATAGCAGGTCAATAATTTCGCGTTCTTCGCTGCGCATTGACTGAGCAAGCAGGGACTGAGAAGAACAATCGATTATTTGACTAAGAACCAAGCGTGATATAAAGGATACAGAAAGTTGAATACTTTGAGAAACCACCAGTCTGCGTCGTCCTATAACAGTTCACAAATTTTATGGCTGCAAGTCAGTACATCAATAATCATTGAGAAGAGCTCTTTTCACCCACAACCCAGTACTCAGTTCCTCCTAAACAGAGGCCACCCAGTAAAAACCAAAGAGTCCACCCAATCATTGCGCTTTTCCTTGGATGTATCGAGTTTACATACTTTTATTCGGCGGGGCGGTAACTCGGTAACTCAACGACCTTAAAATGGTGTTTCATAACTGGGTAGTTTTCAGTTCACAAACAGTTGATGTATCGAGTTTACATACTTTTATTCGGTGGGGCTGTAACTCTGTAACTCGACGACCTTAGAATGGTGTTTCATAACTGGGTAGTTTCCAGTTCACAAACAGTCAGTCATTCATAATCATACATTCGTGATACTGTTTAGTTGTGTGACACACTCCACGACGAATAATTTTGGGCGGCTTATCGTTGAGCATACTATCCTTTATTTTTAACCCTAGGCTAATATAAACATACGAAAACTCGGCAGATCAAACCTCCGTCTATCTGGCAATTTTGGCTTGGGGATTTACAAATAATAACCGTAACGAAGAATGGGGACTGAATAACTTCGCATTCACATTTGGCACCTCGGACTGACTACTGTTTGATCCATATTTATCAGACTTCAACTAAGCAACTAAAGGTTTTGAAAAAGTGGATGTCCAACATTGTTCCACATAGGCGCACAATCCAGAACCCTATTCATATAGAGCTTTGCTTTAGTGAAAAAAGTATCCAACTCTGGAAGCAATACAGAATTATGACAAGAGTCCTGAATATTCTGTATGCAAATCGCCGTAAAAATACCTACCATCCAAAATCATCTCTAGACTAGAGCACGTTTAATGTCACTGACAATTCTAGTAACAAAACTTTATTCAGCCCTTATGGCACCATGTCCTAAGTAGCAATATAATAGTAGAAGAGGGATACTGTGAAGAAATGAAAGCATTCATGGGCCACCGGAGAAATTAAGACCATTTTATCTTTCTGGTTCATGTGGATTAACTTGCAGGGGGGGAGGGAAAACGATGTTACTGGTTTGCATACTGTTATAAGCTAGACATACAGTCAAACTGACTTTTGTCTATCGTGTCTGAAGCTGTGCTTTCGATGCATAGGGTTTCCCGAGTACGCTGCCTCAGTCCTCATAATAATGACTTATACAACCTGTTGCTCGACATAACGTACAAAAATGTGAGCACCTTGTTGTCGTTCGTTTCTCCTGAGGGCGTAAGTCGTTAGTAAGTTACAGCCCTTCTAATAGCTTCCATCCTTGGACATATCGCTCATTTTTCATGATTTTACGGCAGTTAATCCTTAAAACTTACCGCTAAGGCGCTTGGCAATCGGCTTGCAAACGTTTTGTCACCATACGAGAAGACATCATCAGTGCGCAGTTGGGTGGGTGACGAAACGTTTGCAAGCCATTTGCGAAGCAGCTCAACGACCAATGAACTCACCCGACCTACCAATATTCCAACACATTACTGCCAACGCATTACTGTCAATAGTGACTATCTCTCCATTGCATACAATAAGCCTTTTGGTAAAAAAACATAACTGCAACGCCAGTGCCAGTGTCCGGTTCTATGGAACAGGAGGAGTTGTTATAAAATGGAAACCAGATTAATTTTGTCCAAAGCGAAGAAGGAACATGCTCCACGTTCTTAGGTAGCAGTTATAGGCTTCTAGATTTGCTCAGCCAGTTAAACCAGATGCTGGGCTTCTGAAAGTGCACATACCTGAGATTTAGACTAAAACACCTGTAACTGTCATTCGACTATCGAAACATTTGGATCTTTGAGTTCCTACTATTTATGAGGGAAGTAAAGTCATTTTCCGGATGAAGAAGTCATCAGCCCGATAGGGTGCTGTGCTGTCTCTTTGATGTTTGCAAACCCCACGCAAACACAAAGGAGAATGTGCGCACGCAGTTGGGTGGGTGACGAAACGTTTGCAAGCCATTTGCGAAGCAGCTCAACGACCAATGAACTCACCCGACCTACCAATATTCCAACACATTACTGCCAACGCATTACTGTCAATAGTGACTATCTCTCCATTGCATACAATAAGCCTTTTGGTAAAAAAACATAACTGCAACGCCAGTGCCAGTGTCCGGTTCTATGGAACAGGAGGAGTTGTTATAAAATGGAAACCAGATTAATTTTGTCCAAAGCGAAGAAGGAACATGCTCCACGTTCTTAGGTAGCAGTTATAGGCTTCTAGATTTGCTCAGCCAGTTAAACCAGATGCTGGGCTTCTGAAAGTGCACATACCTGAGATTTAGACTAAAACACCTGTAACTGTCATTCGACTATCGAAACATTTGGATCTTTGAGTTCCTACTATTTATGAGGGAAGTAAAGTCATTTTCCGGATGAAGAAGTCATCAGCCCGATAGGGTGCTGTGCTGTCTCTTTGATGTTTGCAAACCCCACGCAAACACAAAGGAGAATGTTTGTTGTAAACGCTTTGTCATATGGACTATCCTGGGGAATGGGTTTCTTTTGGAGATAAACTAAAAATCTGCGGCTCGTTATCTATTAATTCAGGAAACGGGGAACAAAATGAAAGATGCCAAGGGCCATAAAAACGTAAATGACATAACGTACCACCGAAAACCACAAGCCAAAGTAACCCAAAATTTTTTTATTTGCAGCAGGAAAAACAGAGTATTTTGGCGTGAAAGCATGATCTTACCAATAGCAAATTTGAAAGTAACACGCTCAATAAAGTCTTGGTCCAAGAAGTTGTGATTTTGATAATCATGGGTGAACATTGACCAAAAATCAACTGAATGTCTACAGCTGCCCCAGTGGGAATGTGTTGCAATATATATATATATATATATATATATATATATAGCGTAGGGTTTTATTTGTTCGACAACTAACCGTTAAACTATGGGGAATAAGATTCAAAGGCTCACTGAATATGCAATACAGATTCTGATACCTTGAATTCAATGGAATCTATTAGATGATCAAGGCCGCTACGATTTGAATGGCTGCGTGGAATTCCCTAACACTTCAGGGCTTATTGAGTGATGACTTCTCAGATGGGAGTTTCACCCATCTTGTTAGATTTCTCTTCCTCTTAGCTACTTATGGGTTGATGGTGGTGTGAGGAGATTTGGTAATTTTGAAAGGGAGTTCCGCCCTTCAAGTGAACCCAGTCTATACTGCATGCTGTAAGGTGGCTTCCGTGACTGAACGACGAATACCACTATGTCTTGTCTACAAGGGACCTAATCAAGCTGATACTACTGATGAGGCATGCGAGTAGCTCGTTTTCTCGTAACTGCGCTTCCCGTCCAACTGAAGTCGGGGATTAGTACGGAATTTGTGAAGCTGCTTGGCACGTTCGTTTGCCATTGCGTAGTAGTCGATTAATATCCGGGAAAGTTCAAGAAGAAGAAGATGGATATTCAATTACCAAGAAACTGGGTGCATGTGAGAGATTTACTATACTGTCCGATAGTTTGTGACTGTATAGTTGGTGTTTTATAATAAACAATTTCGTGTTGAAGGGATTGCTTCCATTTTATTGGCCGAAGTGTCAGGTGTTCAACCACTTATCAAAAGGTCGTGGCTCCTGGCTATTCCCACCGACGTTGAAACAGCCGTACAATGCATTTCGGCTTTTCAGCTGACGGGATGAAACCGCTATTGAAAATTACTGGATGTTTTCACACTACCATCAAACCGAAGCAAACACGGAAAATTGGAAGACTTCTTATCGCAATTTTTGTTCTAATTGTGCCACCTGCCGGAGATATGTGGAAGCTGATATCAGGTTCAAACTGGTTCACCATTCTACATGACGAGTCAGTCCATGGTATTAGTCGATAGATCCATATCGAACAATAATATGTCAACTCAAACGGGCAACAACTGGCTGGGTGAATGAGCATCAGATTCGAAATACAGACATGTTCAGGAAAGTAGTTCAAGCCAACGGTCTGAATAATTCCATATCTTGCGAAAAAATGGTTCGGTTGAGGAGATTCCAGGAAGGGAGTATATAATCAAAGGATTTGCAGCGGATAAAGGTTAGTATAATTCTACAAAGCGATTAGATCAAAGAAGAAGTCACGTAGCATCGTGCCAAAAATTCACTTTCAGCAGTTTCTATGCACCAATAACGATCCCAAGCCTTGTTGTGCTTACAATGTTCTAAAGTTGGGCCGGAGATTCCGCAGATGAGAACTGAGGACGCGCGCTTTCATGGGATCCGAAATACGAAGAAGGTCCGGTTCATGGCCAAGCCATAAAACTCTCAGCCTTCACATTAAAAAGGTATCGTTATACAATAATTCGAGTTATCGGACACCACACGTAAATAAAAGTCAAGTTGCCGGTTTAAAAATGCGTACAGTTCACGAATGTCGCACAACCTGAGTTCAAGTAGGACAAAGTGTTGCGGAAACTGTGAACCTGTGCTGGCATGATTAAGCTCAAGAGGGGAAACACCAGTCATGGATTCTCGGTGAGTAGTGTCTTGCGTCTAGAAAACCTATTGCGATATCTTGAAAGTCGCACTAACTGAAAAATAGTTCAGCACTTTTAGCTGAAGGATGTATTTAAACGGGGGATTCAGTTGGGATTCATTTGGTTCAGCGTACTTCGCAAGTTCGATAAAATTAGTGCATAGATCCAAAGCCAATAGGACTAAACTTCATAGTAAGTTTCTTCACTCCATTCAAAACAGTAGTCTACATTGAATAGTTCATCCACATCTAAGACCATACTACTTATGTCTGCTACCAGATCAAGCGCATAGTTTTGGTAAACATAGGATTTCCCGTTCCTTGAACTCAGACGAAATTCACCGCTCAATTTGGTTGCTAAGACACGGCAAAATTGTGAAGAAAAGCCACTGCAAATATGATAGGTAAGGATTTTTTCCAAAAAGTTGATAAAACAGCTCGTTGGGACTGCTTTTCGACAAATATCCGACAGTGTTCAGCAAACTTATGAGAGGGGGTTTCTCCGAGATATATCTAATATCATACAGAGTGAAACATGAGGCGTCCTTTGTGTGGCACATTTAGTTGGAGGATTTCGTAAACGACAAAGCCAGCTGAGATTCATTTGATCCTCTTGTGCAAATGGGCATGTTTTGGGGGTTCATCTTATATTTATAGGTGATGAGTGTTAGAGAAACATTCAGTTGGTAACTGATTATTCCGGTTTTTCCGACTGTTGTTTGTGGTGCAAGTTCTTTCTACGGTCTTACAGTATTTTCCTTGTCATAATCTATTATCCATACGTTAATAAAAGTTTTGATTGCCCACTATCGGATCCATACTGTTTTAGGTTTGTAAGGGCATCATACTTTTTGAACTGTAGCAGACCGTTTTGAACACGAGCACCTACTACTTAATTAGTATCTTATGCCAACATAAAGTGCTTCGATGTCGCAACTATCCATCAATCTAAATACTTCGTAGGAGAAGCCAATCAGTAAGCGTGGTTTTTTTCGAAATCTCATATGAACAAAAGTTTCCGTTTTCAAAATTCAACTGAGTAGTGTGATCATTCGAAATTCCGAGACTGCCTTCATAAAAGGAAACCCAAGCAGAACAGAAACAGCAGCCCTCATTACAGTCCTACGAGCGTTAAAATGAAAAAAGATCGTCAACAATGATATGGCCTGTTTTGAAAAGAAAGTTATTCTGTGGGAAATGAGAATCGGTTTGTTGCGGAAACTTTCTGCTTCGGTGACACGAGCAAGAAGCTTCCACAGCTACATGAAGCACTTTGTGGACTAATTCCTTCCTGGTGATATATCCCACCTCGAACTCCATAAATGTTAATTAACTCGATTACTCTTAAAAGTTTGAGTGCTTTTGGGCAAACCGAACGGGAGCCACCTGGCTTCAAAAGTAAAACAGCGATGTTCGGTGCTGTGTATGAAATTGGGGGTCTTTTTACGTCGGTACAAATATGAATTCATTAAATAACATTATATTAATTTGATGTAAAAGCGTATATTTGCTGTTCTTGCCATAAAAGCTCAGAATAACATATCTTCTCGTGGATGCTGGTTATACGCAACCTCTCAAAGAAATGCACACAGCAGTTTGTAGTTGGCACCACCTCTAACTGCATGAGCATTGGCTTCATGGTACTTATGAGTAGACGGAATTGGAAAAGAGGAATGGAGAAAACCAGCTTTGTTAGGCGAGCTGGTTTTCTTGTTTGAAGATGTAAACTCTGCATGAAAGTGATATCCAAACCAGAGATTAAGTAGGGTTCCAGGTGAGTCTATCGCAGAACCAAATTTGCTTGCAACTGAGTGTGTTTCACTGATTCCCATGATGTCTTGCGTAGCTGTCGTAAGTTTGGAAGCCATGCGACAAAACGTGACATTCAAATCTCACTTTTTGCATCCTTTTGACGTTATCCGCTGCGATTTCGTGGTCCTTCTCAATTTGCTCGTAGGCTTCCTCCAGTCGTCGACGTTCCTGCCGCAGGGCTTCTCGGGCTTGACCCATGAACTGATAACTATGGATTATGGGGTAGTGGTGCGCGTAGCTTGCATCTCGGATACCATCTGTGAAAAGACGCATCAAATGATAGCAGTAAATTGGAGGTATTCGTAAGTAAAACAAAGCAATTATCACTGTTTTTATGCTTGCATATAAGAGCATCACACGTGTTATGAAACCACACGAACAGGAGTCATCCAGGTTCGTTACTCAAGTCCCACTACCCGGTTGATCACAATTCTCATTTGAGTTGAGCATAATTATCTGAGCTCCAAACCGAAGGATTGTGATTTGAACCTTTTAGGAGGTCGCTAATGCTCTCACTGTCGATAATTCATAACAGTTTGCCTTTTACAGGGTAGTTTATTGTCGTCTGAGGAGATAAAATTTTGGGACGAAATGTCCAAAGCGATTTATTTCGAAGTTCTTCCACTTGGGTTCACTCAGGTTTCATTGCGAAAGCCAAGGCTGACTGCAGGTTTTTATACCGGTATTGATCCACACCAACTCCCAAAATACTGAAGTTGGTAGCGATATTCTCAAAAAACTTGGGAGAAATATCAATCACTTCTACCGGATCTAGTCAAATATTTCAGTAAAATTAGGAAAAGGGAATGAAGAAATGAGGACATCCCTGGGCTTCCGACTTATCGGGAATCAATGCATACTGACCTCTCCGGATCCAGCATAACAAATTTTCTGTCACGATAATGGCTTAAAACCAATAAAACCAAAAGTGAGAGAAGGACCGTTTTGAATGCCTCCATGTTGGTAACTTTTTTTACGCGACGTATACTCACCAAGATTTGTCTGTGATTCTGTGGCACTTGAAGCAGTGACTGAAGAAGCTTTTGATGAGTCCCATCTAAAATACGGAATATACCAATGAAGATGGGATCACTGCTTCCTGAACGAATAGTAATGAACAAAATTTCCAGGCGAACCAGATAGTGAGTACTCGGTGTTCAAATCTCAGTGAAGTAAAGAGCGCGGCAGAATATTGTAAGACATATTATTCTTGATCGCTCACAGAGGGCAGAAACCAGAACTGTACATATAGCCTACATAATTTGAAAGACAGTGAGGCGCTCATCGTGAAAGTGCATGAGAGGGTTGCTGAATGGTTGTAAAGTAAACACCTAAAAGGAATAAAAAAGATAGGAATTTTACTTAGATGCTTTGCTTTGCTGCTGTTTTCTTTGTACTACTAAGAATGTGGCGAAAGTTCCACTTGTGTAGCCCTGTTTGATTCAAAAACTGAACATAGATCAGACAAAAAATATGGAGTATTGCATTATTATTTCCAGGAACACCTAACGTTCAAATTAATTTGATTATGAACACGTAACGAAGGCTTTGACTGACGTATCGCCGTAGTCTCCGGAAACTCAAGAAAGTCGATTTTACTGGTGACATTGGATAGTAAATGCTGATGTTAGATTTACCTGATCGCTTGTAATGAGAAGTCTGTGGTGTTTTCCGCCTACCATTCGATCGAGTACTTTTGAACTAGAACTTTGGACCAGAAGAGACACATGATTCTTATTTCTGGCATTGATGTACCAATTGGTTCTGCCAGTTCACCTCACTCCGTAATTACATACGAGTTAGTGTACTCAATGTGAAATTTAGTTTAGTTTGCTCAAGGGTAATGTTAATCCATGATATCGGTTGATCACGTGTATTTCCGCCGCAATATATGTCCGCTTTACTGTCGGCGCTAAGGGCGGTATTACTGATGTTAATTTGTTGGCTCATATAAATGGAAACTGTATGGAAATCAGAATCCTAGATAGCAAGTCACGTTTCCTGGGTTCAAGTCACTCGTTCGCATGTTTCTCAGTAGTCCAGCAGCGATGAATCAGTGTCTGATTCAATCAGTGTCGATTCTGTTGAAATGTCCTAATGAAAAGAGGACATCCATTTTGACGGAGGTTTGAATATATTTGGTAACTTTTATAGCAGTATTCATCCACTCAGTAAAGCCGATCAATGCTCAAAAGCCGAGAAGCAGTGAACAGATATTCCACTCTTGTTGTGGAGCATCTCATGCAATTCAGAAAGTCTCGAAATCGCGGCAACATAACACTTGATCGTTTGGTCACCAGTGGCTCTTCGGCAATGTGAATACCCTTGTAACGGTGATACTAATGATCGGGAGGCACGCGAGTAGTATGTGTTGTTCGTAGAATTTCGCTTTCCGTCGACTGAAAAATGGAATTCTGTTGCGGAATTCGTGGGGCCACTTTGTAACATTTGCTTTTATTTGACCGACGAATGATTGGAGGCAATGAATCTC